AAAAAGAAAATCACCATTCTACCCCGTTAGCGTAGAGTGGACTTAGCCAATCAAGTTATAAAGGGTAAATTAATCTTGTGTATCACAGTTCAAGTGGTTAAGATACACTTGAAACTTACCCAAAAAAACCCCACAGTTTACAAAGGTGGTCATTGTTCCATTGAGTACATGTGGTGCATGTCTGGTCTATGTAAATTAGGTCAACTTAAGAAGGTGGTCAACTATTGAGGTTATACTATAATGCAGTTTGGATTTGGTAGGGCAGTGTGCTTACTAGTCTTTGTGTTTTGTAATGTTGTAGAAAAACTTTTTTTCCTTTTTTTCTTTAGAAAGTGCAGAAGGTTTTCCAAGTTATGACACTGCTTCTGAACAACTCCATGAGGCAGGCTATGATGCTTATATCACAGGACTGTGTTTTATCTCCATGGCAAATTACCTAGGTATGTACTACATGTGTTTCTTTCAAACACCTGTCTCCCTTCTTAGCTCAGGCAGCTATAACAAACTGCCATAGGCCAGAGGCTTAAACAATAGACATTTATTTCTCACCACTCTGGAGGCTAGGAAGTTCAAGATCAAATTGCTGGTGTATCTGGTGTCTGATGGGAACCCATTTCCTGGTTTGCAGATGGCTGTCTCATGTCTTCACGTGGTCAAGAATAGAGGGAAGATGCTCTCCTGTCTTCTTATGAAGGCACTAATCTCCTTCATGAGGGCTCCACCCTCATGATCTGATTATTTCCCAGAGGTCTCACTTCCCAGTAGCATTGTGTTGGGGACTAGCTTCAACATATGAATTTGGGGGGAGCACAAATTTTCATTCTATAACACTACCATTTCCTTGGGATCCACTGACCCAGTGAGAAGTAGGTAAGGTTTAAGTTAGAAGTTAGAGGAATTGGGGATTCAAGAACAGACAGGGAAGAATCACAGACACCTGTGGTATGATACTTGGCCTACAAGAATACCTTTTACCTTCACTGAAACATATTGTTGATTTACGTATATTTTTGTCTGAACTTTCAGGCTTTGTCTACAGGACTGTGTATAATTACCCTGCTTCTTTTTGTTCATTAGGTTCTTTTCTTAGTCCTCCAGAAATTCATGTGTCTGCCAGATCAAAACTCATCGAACCTTTTTTTAACAAGTAAGTAATCAAAGGGTCTCAATCCCCAAGTATCATGAACTCAGTAGCTCAGGATGCCCTGATTGGGAGGTATAGTGCATCTTTAGATAAAATATATCTCATCTGTAGTGACTCAGAGAACAGAAACTGACCTTTTGGGAAATAATTTATTTAAAAATATTAGCTTAAGAAAAGGAGAAGCAGGGGTGGTACCTGTAGCTCAGTGGGTAGGGCGCTGGCCACATGCACCAGGGCTGGTGGGTTTGAACCCAGCCCTGGCCTACTAAAAACAAAAAAATAGCTGGACGTTGTGGCAGCTGCCTATAATCCCAGCTACTCGGGAGGCCGAGGCAAGAGAATCACTGAAACCCAAGATTTTGAGGTTGCTGTGAGCTGTGATGCCACAGCACTCTACCAAGGGTGACATAGTAAGACTCTGTCTCAATTTAAAAAAAGAAGAAAGAAAGAAAAAGAGAAGCAAACATTGCCAGAGCTAGTACATATCTTTTTTTACATTTAAATTTCCTATAACAGGCCAGGTGAAGTGGCTCACACTTATAATTCTAGCACTCTGGGAGGCTGAGGTGGGTGAATTGCTTGAGCTCAGGAGTTCGATACCAGCCTGAGCAAGAGGGAGATGCTAACTTTACTGAAAAGAGGGGAAATAAAAAAACAAAAGTAGCTGGGTGTAATGGCACTTGCCTATAGCCCCACCCTCTCTGCACTTGGGAGGCAGGGGCAAGAGGATCTCTTAAATCTAAGAGTTTGAAGTTACTGTGAGCTGTGATGATGCTATATAGCACTTTACCCAGGGCAACTGAGTGAGACTCTATCTCAGAAAGAAAATAAATATTCCAATAAGGGAGATGGATATGTGTATGCTTCATCCTAACCTCTAACAAACTTAATGTGTGAGATTATTTATGCTCACATTATTTTCTTATTAAATAATACAGTTTCTAGATCTCAAGCGGGAGGCTCTCCCAATACAAGACTCAGATTTCAGATTTCTCGAGGCTACCCATAAGGTTAATAATAGTAATAGGGGCTGATATGTTCACTCAGAAACTGCTGGCATCTTTTTTCCCTCCCTCATCTTACCTGCTGGGGAAATAGACTTCCATAAAAGCAGAGTGGAGCAAACATTCAGTGCCATTGCCAGAATCCCACAAATGGGCAATGGACCCCTGAGCTTCCACTTGTAATTCTAAAAAACAAATAATAACAACACTGTTTCTAAATACATTTTGGTTGTACAGATGACTTTTAAGAAACTGTGAAATTTTGATTCTCATTACATCCTGGGCTCTTACCTGAATGGAGCTAACAGAATAAGGGCTTGGTTAGGCATCTTCATTGTGGTGATATGTTAGTGTGGTTTAGGGAGGAGTCTATTTTTTTTTTTTTTGAGACAGAGTCTCACTTTGTACTCCCCCCAGCCCCCACCCTGGGAGCCTTGGCATCACAGCTCGCAGCAACCTCAGACCCTTGGGCTCAAGCGATTCTTTTGCATCAGCCTCCCAAGTAGCTGGGACTACAGGCACCTCCTACAACGCCCGGCTATTTTTCAGAGACGGTGTCTTGCTCTGGCTCAGGCTGGTCTCAAACTCCTGAGCTTAGGTGATCCGCCCTCCTTGGCCTCCCAGAGTGCTGGGATTACAGGCATCGGCTACCTTAACTGGCCTTAAGGAGGAGTCTTAATTTCAAAGCAGTTTTAAAGAATCTCAAGGTTATGAGTTCAAAGTGTGGTTTATGTTCACTTAGCAAAATTAAGACTGAAATTAGAGATGTGATCCTCAAACATGCCAGAGGATGCCTCTATGCCAGAGCCATAAACCTTCATCTTTAATGAAGCTTCAAGGCAGGGTTGGGTCTAAGAAAATTCTGCATGAGCCACAGAGAACTAGGCATCCCACATTCTCTACCACTGGAAAAAATAACTATGGAAGTGTTGGGTTGGTTACATCATTTCCTTCCATTATATGTAGCACTTTACAGTCCTGTCATTGCTTTACAGGGTAAGAATGTTGTACTTTCTCCTTAAGATACCTGTGTAAATGTTAGTACCACCATGCTTGTGCTTGGGTGGCGTACTGCAGAGACAGATGTTAATTCCAAACATTTAAATTCCTACAGGTTTTGAGTTAGTGAAATCTATTACGCTGTGGCTGCTGCTTTTTTTTTTTATATATATTTGGTCTTTTTGATGAAAATTCCGAAGTAAAAGTGTATGACATTCAAATGTCTTTCAAAGTGGACTGGGTAACAGTGTGGTATATATTGGAGATTAAGTTGAATTTTTCTGTATGGGAAGTTAATTCTGTTAATGTCTGAGTCTTTGCTGTCTATCCAGTTCTTTAAGTGTATAAAAGGCTTTTCCAAACTCTTCACTCTTATTTGGGGGGCCAGTGTTTATCTTTGTAAATCTTTGGAGAGATAGCTTATACTATAGAACCTAGAACACAGGGGGCACTAAATATAGTTCTAAATCATGACCATTTCTTACATTTTTGTACTTCATGTCAAATTTATTGTTCAGCAGTATTTTGCAACTGAGAGGTATTGATTCATTTGTAAATATTTAAAACAGCCATTTTTGCCTCTCCACTAAAATCAACTCCGTATAGAATCAGGTGTTGGATAAAATTTGGGTTAGATCTAGATGGCCATCTAGTTCATCAGTCGTGTGTGTAACTGATGTGCAAAGCAATCAAAATCAACTTTGAAAAGCTTAGCTTTTCTTTCTTAGCTTAACTTTAAAAAGCTTAGCTAAGATTTCCTATATCTGTAGATCAACCTAATCTTGCTAATATTGTACAAAGACTATTATCCAAATGAACCAGACAGTAAAATGCAGGGCTTTCTTTTAAATTGGGACATCTGTCTATTCAGAATTTTTTGCTGAAACCCCAAATGCTACAAAAAATAGTTAAATAGAAGGTCAGATTTAGGAATCCTTCTGTAATAATCCACTAAAAATTCCTATCTTCACCTTGACAACTTGGGCCTTTAAAAAAATTGCTACCTATCTAGAAGCAGATTTTCGCTTCTACTCCAATTTCTGGTTTGTCCCACCTGCCTCTATTCCAGTCTTCGCCATGTCCATCAGGGTTACCCAGAAGTCCTACAAGGTGTCTACCTCCGCCCCACGGGCCTTCAGCAGCCGCTCATACAGCAGTGGGCCCGGTGCCCGCATCAGCTCCTCGAGCTTCTCTCGGGTGGGCAGCGGCAGCTTCCCGAGTGGCCTGAGCACCGGCCTGGGTCTGGGTGGAGGCTACACCAGGGCTGGAGGTATGGGGGGCATCATAGCCGTCACAGTGAACCAGAGCCTGCTGAGCGCGCTCAACCTGGAGGTGGACCCCAACGTTCAGGCCGTGCGCACCCAGGAGAAGGAGGAGATCAAGACCCTCAACAACAAGTTTGCCTCCTTCATCGACAAGGTGCGCTTCCTGGAGCAGCAGAACAAGAGGCTGGAGACCAAGTGGAACCTCCTGCAGTAGCAGCAGCAGACGGCTCGCAGCAACATGGACAGCGTGTTTGAAAGCTACATCAACAACCTTCGGCTACAGCTGGACACACTGGGCCAGGAGAAGCTGAAGCTGGAGGCAGAGCTTGGCAACATGCAGGGGCTGGTGGAGGACTTCAAGAATAAGTATGAGGAGGAGACCAACAAGCGTACGGAGATGGAGAATGAATTTGTCCTCATCAAGAAGGATGTGGATGAAGCCTACATGAACAAGGTGGAGCTGGAGTCCCGCCTGGACGGGCTGACTGATAAAATCAACTTCCTCAGGCAGTTGTATGAAGAGGAGATCCGTGAGCTGCAGTCCCAGATCTCAGACACGTCTGTGGTCCTGTCCATGGACAACAGCCACTCCCTGGACATGGACAGCATCATTGCTGAGGTCTGCGTCCAGTATGAGGAGATCGCCAACCACAGCTGGGCTGAGGCTGAGAGCATGTACCAGACCAAGTACAAAGAGCTGCAGGTGCAGGCTGGGAAGCACTGGGACGACCTGTGGCACACAAAGACGGAGATCGAAGCTCTCAAAGGCCAGAGGGCTGCCCTGGAGGCCTTCATCGCAGATGCTGAGCAGTGTGGGGAGCCAGCTCTTAAGGATGCCAACACCAAGCTGGCCCAGCTGGAGGCTGCCCTGCGTCAGGAGCAGCTGCGTGAATACCAGGGTCTGATGAATGTCAAGCTGGCCCTGGACGTGGAGATCACCACCGACTACAAGCTGCTGAAGGGCGAAGAGAGCCGGCTGGAGTCGGGGATGCAGAACATGAGTATCCACACGAAGACCACCAGTGGCTACTCAGGTGGCCTGAGCTCGGCCTACAGGGGCCTCATAAGCCCTGGCCTCAGCTATGGTCTGAGCTCCTTCCAGACTGGCTTTGGCTCTGGTGGAGACTCCAGCTCCTTCAGCTGTACCAGCTCCAGGGCTGTGGTTGTGAAGAAGATTGAGACCCGAGATGGGAAGCTGGTGTCTGAGTCCTCTGATGTCCTGCCCAAGTGAGCTGCCATTGCAACCCCTCCAGTCTACCCTCTCACACGGCTGCCACAGAGCCTGTGGGGGAGGCAGCTGTGCCAGGGAGCACATGGAACAGGAGACCCACCTGAGGCTCAGCCCCATCCCTCAGCCTGTCTTTCTGGGGAGTTTACCACCTGGGTTACCCCCACTTACACCCCCAACTAAAAACCAATTTTACTGCTTTTTCCAAAGTAAAGCCTCAGCCGCATTGCCAACCAAAAAAAAAAAAAATTCCGACCTATCTTTTTTTGTATTATTTCCTCAAGGAAGAAAATTGTCTTCATCCTAGAAGAAAATTCCAGCAAGATTTGAACATAAGAACTATTTTTGTTATTGGTATTAGAATAACTTGGTCAAGCACAGTCATCCATTCTTAACTCATTTAGAAAGTGGGAAAAGCAATTGCTTCTTTTGACATCTCTTTCTGCATTAATATCAACCTCATTCTTTCTTTCTTTCTGGTGTGATTTGTGACATCAAACCTTGTTTCTGGCTATTTTTCAAGATCTCCTTTGTAGAAAACATCCAATAGTTGCTCCTAACATTATCTCAAGCTGATGATTTTTTAAAAACATGTAAATTTTTTTGAAGGTTAATTTATTTTGATACCAGACTTTTTAAAGGTAAGCTTTACTAAGCATGCATAGTCCTAACATAAATTTGGACAGACATCAAATTGCCCATACATGCAAATAATATTTTATTCTGCCCTCACCAGATTTAATGTTTAAGAAATATGCCTTAAGAGGAAATAAACTCCTCTTATTTCTGCATTATTCTAAATTAGCATTTACCAGCATCAGTCATGCCTCTCTGGGAAGCTTTATTGAGTCAACTATTGAGAACATCCTGAGACAGCTGGTATTGGAGCAGTATGCAGAGACCAAATGTAATGAATCTCCTAAAAGTTTTGCTTGGTGCCATTTTGTCTTCTTCATAGTCTGGTCCTAGATACTGTCTTGCTTTCCTGGAATCAGAACAAAAGTTGTAAGAGAATTGAGTCCTAGAAATCAGGATGCTGATAGGTTGTGTGGAATGTGCTCTTGTTTCTGCTGGAGGCTCTCTGGTCAAGAGACAGTTTACCTTCTTCCATAACGTTGGTCAGTTTTAATCAATGTATGGAAAACCAGACTAGAAGTTAAGATCCTTTGGTCAAATTCTTTTAGGCTAGAAAAAGCTAATAGTACTCTCTGCTTTTGCTTTTATAGCACGAAATCAGACCTTCACTTTCTTTTAACAGTCTTCTGTTTCTGCAAGACACCTTGAATGCTCATGTAGGTAACTTTTCGTGAAGGTGTTTCTTTGAAAGTTATTTTCCATTTACCTCAGTTCTTAGAAAGAGTAAGGAAATGAACAAGTTTCTTATTTTCTCTATTCTGTATAACTACTAGAATTTGAAAGGCAGAGGTAAATGCCTGCAGTTTACTGTCTAGAGCTGCTGCCTTGTCCTGTGACTGGACAGGGCTCCTCCAGAAATCTTGCTTTTCATGGGATGGCACTGCTCTGTGAGCTACTGAGGAGAACAAGCCATAACAAGGAGTGATATGTTCTTGGATAAATTCCTTCCTCCTCTGTATAATTAATGTAGATAAAATTATTCACTTTTCACAGAGGTTACAAAGAGTACATGAGATATAAAAGGACTTTAATAGTTCCTAGAACCTAGTAGATGCTCAGTATGTTATTTTCCTTTATTGAAATGTAAGATAGGGGGATTGGGAGATGCTGATAAAAAGATACAAAATTTCAGTTAGGAGGAACAAATTCAAGGACTTGATTGTATAACACAGTGATTTAGTTAGTTATGGTGTGTTGTGTGCTTGAAAATTGCATAGAGAGTAGATTTTCAGCATTCATGCCACCAAAAAACATATGTGAGGTAATGCATATGTTGAGTAGGTTGATAGAGCTGTTTTATAATATATACATGTTTTAGAACATCATGTTATGCATTGTAAAAATAATTTTCATTTGTTAAAGAAAAATAAAAAATATGAAGATCTAACATACTAAGAGATTCAATAAAAGTAGAGGTAGTGGTAGAATGCATTTATTTGTATTTAGTTTACAAAGTTTGCTATCATGTGGTTGTGAACTTGGAGTACAGTGCTGCAAATGTGCCTTCCCTGTGGGATTTGCTTTTAGAAAATCTCATGATGGGTGCAGCGCCTGTGACTCAGTGGGTAGGGCCTTGGCCCCACATACCAGGTTGGCGGGTTCGAACCCAGCCCTAGCCAAACTGCAATTAAAAAAAAATAGCTGAGTGTTGTGGTGAGTGCTTGTTTCTCTGAGGCAAGAGAATCGCCTAAGCCCAGGAGTTAGAGGTTGCTGTGAGCTGTGACATCACAGCACTCAACTGAGGACAATAAAGTGAGAGTCTGTCCCAAAGAAAAGAAAAAAAAAATCACATGATGATGTGTCAGACAGACACAGGATGGAAGCAAGATTGTTTTGATTTAGAGTAGAGCTGGGACCCTTCTCCATTTTTAGGAGTTTTTTTTTTTTTTTTTTTGAAGGAATATAATACAGCAATTTATGGAAGGTTGTATAGGTATCTGTAACAGCCACACGTACAGAGAAGACTGTGGTGGCCGAAATAAAGCACACTAGTGTTTTCTCCTTTTCTTCCATGGAAAGCAATTGTGCTGGCAACCAGTTGGGTTTTTCTTATAGTATGCATGTGCTTGATATTTAACATCAGTGAAATTTTAAACTGAAAGATTAAAGGTTTCTTCCTAGCATTGACTTGTTTTTGGTGGCCATCTATGAAAAAGAAAAGAAAAATATTTCTTCTTAGCCCTCTTACTGATTACAGAGCAACTCTTTATTTGCCGCTTTCTGGTACAACTGCGATTCCCACCCTGCAGCACGGTCTGCAAGGGCCTAGCAGACCCTAATGGAACCCACCTGCCCAGCTTGCCTCTCTGATCTCCTGCCGTCACTTAACTTCCCCCTGTCCTGCCCATCCTACCCATCCTGCCCTCCCCCAGGGGAACCGCATAAATGAAGTCCACAGTAAGTCTTCCTGGGACTTCCAACTTCCTGAGAACACAGTTGGTACTGTGGATAAGCACAAAGGTCTTGCTATGAAGTTGTGAATGAGAAGAAAATATCTGCCCTGTGTGCTAGTGGCACTCATGTGTATTGAGAATTTTGATGCTGGGGAGCTGTGTGATTTTTGAAGCAGCAGAGTGGATCAGAAGGCCTCTCCATTTATCTGGAGTATGTGAATGGTATGTCAGTACCATTCACATCCCTTTCCCCAAAATCTCCTGGTGATGCTAGAACTGAGGTCAGGGTGGGCAGGGTAGGGCAGATTAATAGCCATAGTGATTATGAGACCCTCCTTTCCTATTGGCAGGCTTTCTCAAGAACTTCATAGAATGACCAGACACCGTGGGACAAGCTTATAATCCCAACACTTGGGAAGCTAAGGCAAGTGGATTGCCTGAGTTCACAGGTTTGAGACCAGCCCTCATGAGCCAGAGTGATACCCTGTCTCTAAAAATAGCTGGGAGTTGTGGTGGGTGCTTATAGTCCCAGCTTCTTGGGAGGCTGAGGCAAGAGAATCACTTAAGCCCAGGAATTTGAGGTTACTGTGAGCTGCGACACCACAGACAAAGTGAGACTGTCTCAAAAAAAAAAAAAACTTTATAAGAGTTATCCTTTAATTTTATATTAGTAGTGCATGAGTAAAGGAGTAACTCAGATATTTTTTAAGATGATGTCCACTACCTCCTATCTTTTATGAAAAATGAATCTTGCACTTTGGATAGGGAGCATAACTCATCATAAACTGGCTAACTGTGGACTGGTATTGTTCTGGATATTACTGTTTAGTCATAAAGCGCCTGGGAAGTAAGTATTATAATAAAAATGGAAGTCAGTTTTCAACCTCTTCCAGATTGTGCTAATTTTGGAAACAGGTGCTGTTGAAAGTAAAATCATAGTACTGCAGATGCTTAGAGCAAACTCCCAGCTTCCAAAAGGCTGGAAGCCAGTTTTTCTCTAGTTTACAAAATATATTTTTCTCTGATATACAAATGTATTTTATCCTCACATTCTTCAATCTCAGCCCTTAATCTTGCCTCATAGTCTTATTCATGTCATTTTTAATCCCCCATGATACTGTGGTAAAAAGGATCTCTAAGAATTGGTTTGGTTTGATTGCCTGAAAGTTCTTTTTTTTTTTTTTTTTTTTTTTTTTTTGAGACAGAATCTCATTCTGTTGTCCTTGGTAGGGTATCCTCATAGCTCACAGCAACCTCAAACTGGTGGCTTTGAGCAATCCTCTTAACTCAGCCTCACAAGTAACTGGGACTACAGGCTCCCGCCACAAAGCCCAGCTAACTTTTCCATTTTTAGTAGAGATGAGGTCTTGCTCTTTGTGAGGCTGGTCTTGAACCCTTGAGCTCAGGCAGTCCACCTGCCTCGGCCTCTATGGTGCCAGGCCTGTCTCCATTTTAAAGTTAAGACATCTGCATGGGGCCCCCAGGGGAACAGAGGCAGGGAAAACACTGACTGTCCTCACTGAGAATGTGTTCTTCCTGCCTAGCAATCCCTAAAAGGGACAGTGCTTCAGTTAGTTGTATTTTTTTTTTTCAGTATCTTTGAAAGATTTCTTTTCTCTGTTTGGCCAGAGCAGTGATTCTAAAAGATGTTGACTTTGACCATTGGATTATGTGGGGCTCATTTTCTTTGACACTTTGCAGTCTATTGTTTGACTGATTGCCTTTGTAGAATGCTTAGTTTAACATTTTTACTTGATATAATTTGATAAGGTTCATTTGATGGTGACTGTTTAAATGAGCTGCTGGTTTTCTTTTTTCACCTTGTTTCTAGAGTTGTATCTGTTTAAGAAAGGATAGGAATGGGCTTGAGGACAAATGTTGGATAATGCTGTTTGTCAAAACAGCGAGCGGCTAAATTGAAAACTGTATCCCCCCACCTGAGTGCAATTAAAATAACTAATGCCACAGTCACTCCTTTCTAGCCAGTGGTTAC